TTTTTTTTTTTTTGGACTGTTTTTTTTTTTTTTCGCCCTCTCGCACCGATTTTGGGGTACCCAGAGGATGTCATCCATAAAAATAAAAAAGTGTGGCCTTATATATAATTAGTAATGAGTCATATGTACCAGAATTGATGGATTGTATAAAATACTCAGAAATAAATAAAAATTCATTTTTTTAAATATCTCAGCAATCTTAAAAAGATTGCCTGTCATTTTAGAGCTAAATTTTCACTTTCACATCTTCAGATATACTGCAAGGGGTATATGTCTGCTTGTTACCTGGTTGATTGTGAAAATAAATCTTATTGGCAATTTGAAAATGAAGGGGTACTGATCAATTGTGAAATTACTGGGTGCAAAAGAATTCTTTGGTAAAATGTTACATAGTTTTAAATTTACTAAATAGTATCCTCCAGGATTTTCAAACCAAATCAATTTTTCCACTTGATAAAAACAATCGCGGACTTTCATTTGAGGGTTTGTATCATTTAAGACCTGCATTTGGAAAAAAATTTAAATATTTACTTAAAAGTAGCTTTGAAGGCTAATGTAGACAAAGAAAATATGATTGGGGACATTTAAGCTGTGTATTGTTAATACCTGAATTTATTTTTCTCTGTCCAGCATTGGATGCAGGTCTGGTGGGTTTGTCACTGACCTATGCCATGAACATGCTGGGGCTATTCCAGTGGTCAGTGAGGCAGTCTGCAGATGTGGAAACTCAGGTACAATGTCTATGTCAAATGCATATAAACATTGACACACTTTTTACATTGATATGTAAAAAGACAATTTTAACTTGCCATTTTCTTTTTTCACTAGATGTCTTTTGTCAATAGGTAATTTGTAAAGAATTTTTAGTCTTTTTTTCTCTAGATAATTTGTAAAGAATTTTACATTTTTTTTTCTAAATACATAAATTTTGTCTATCTGAAAAGTATTGAAGTACACCAAGACATATGCAATAATATTTATGCCTATAAATAAAATGTTCCAGATGACATCAGTAGAAAAAACTCTTGCCTACACATCCCTGGTGACAGAAGACACTGAGCCAGACACACCAAGTCTTATGCCGTCTAACTGGCCACAGTACGGTATAATAACATATGAAGGGGTCTCTGTCAACCACAACAATGACAACACCAAGGCTTTGAGGAATGCATGGTGCTGTATACGTGCTCACGAAATGGTGAGGTACTGCCTGATGTGATCAAGGCAAAAAAATATTAATTTTGTTATTCAAAAATACCTTATCAAATCTCCACATCAGTAATTAAGGCACTTATTTTTTTATCCCATAAGCCAGCACCCGTGGAAGCATGGAAGCTGATATGTGGTACATTTACATACATATGTAGTGATACCAGTATTTGGTTGCTGTTTCAGTGTATAAATGTATGCTATTGACTTAAATTTGTTATTTCTAACACATCTGATGAGTTTTTAGTTGCAATGAAAATTAATGATAGTGAAATGACTAAATATATGGGGGCGTCTCGATAGTCCGAAGGTTCATTGGTCCGAAAAGTAACATTTTCATCGATTTTTTCATCAAGGGTTCATTGGTCCGAAGGTTCTATAGTGAACATTCGGACCAATGAACCTTCGGACTATTGAACCTTCGGACTATCGCTACGGCCCCAAATATATATAGTGACCTTGACATTCAGGTAGGGATTGTTGGCAAAGCTGGTGCTGGCAAGAAAACCTTCCTCTCGGCTCTACTGGGGCTTGTTCCATCTTCCGGCACCATCAGAATAGATGGCATTAACATCCATGAAATACCACTTCCAAAGCTCAGGGAAAGCATAGCTGTTATTCCAGAGGTATAATAAATTCCTGGAAATTTGTCTATCTTAAGGGGGTAAAAAGATTTTAAGCTGAATTGCATAAGAATAAGACGTCAGTGTGTGCTGTTAAGATATTAAATTATCTTTAAATGGCAAAATTTTACTACTGTAACACTTGATAAATTGAGCTTTTTCCTACAATGCAAAAATGAGGATTTGTTGTTTTTTTTGTATGTTTGAGTACACTGTTTGGATTAAAAATGTGAAACTTAAACATAACCTTTTTCAGTTTTGTGAAAATAGTGTACTGTACACTGCCTGTAGACAATCGTTTATAATTACCTTAAACTGTTTCAGAATCCAGTATTGTTTTATGGCACTGTGCGAGACAACATAGATCCACATGGAGATTTTACTGATGAACACATTTGGAAAATGTTGGACGAGGTGAGGAGAAGGAGGGGGGGGTGGGGGGGGGGGGCAGGGGTTGGCTAGGGAGGACTGAAGAATTGAATACCAGTAAGATGCATGACAATAATGATAAGGTCAATATTTGAACTGTTATGATAGGGGGTAAGTGAATTACACCCCATTCTCATAGATTAGATCGACCTACATTGGATCGACCTAACTCCCTGGGGGTTCACGCTAAATAGCTGTTAGCCGGGCGGACACGAAAGTTAATTACCCCTTAAAGCTTGTAGTAGGCGGGGACGGACACTTAAGGGGGATTATCTGACAGTAATCTAGTGAGACTCCCCGCGGTGATAGATCGATCTAAAAGTTGTGAGAACAGAGCCTAAGACCCTATTCCCATAGATTTTAGATTGATCTATCCCTATGGGGAGTCTCACTAGATTACTGTCAGCTTAGCTGGCTTAAACGTCTGTCCCGCCTACTAAAAGCTGTAAGGGGGTAATTAACTATGGTGCGCGCTCGGCTGACTGCAATTTAGCGTGAACCCCCAGAGAGTTAGGTCGATCTAAATCTTAATCTCTGGATCGATCTAAATCTCTGGGAATGCACCCTTACATGCATCCCTAAAGTGAAAGAATAAACTAGTGTGATAAGTTTGAATAACATCATTTAATATTGCAAATGCTCCTGTGTTGAACTATACAAATTTATTTTTATGATTGTTTAAATTATTATAATTTTGAATATCCAGTCCGAAGACAAGTGTTTAATGAGTTTTTTTTTTACATCCCTTAGTATTTGTGAGGATTGCATATTATCATTTGATCAGAACTTGTCCAAGTATACTTAATAACTGTGGTACATGACTAATATATTTCATCATTTATAAGCTATGCAAAATATTTAGAAGACAGCCTCATCTAGTCCACAATTTCAACTTGTGGGACAGGTCATACAAAATCTCTTTTTGTGTGTGATCATACACATACATGTTCACTGTAACCGTGTTTCATATATAATAATCACAACATTTTACATTTATTTCCAGGTGCATTTAAAAGAAAAAGTTCTGATGTTGCCAGAGAACCTGTACACAGAGACGTGTGCGGACAACCCCTGTGGTTTCAGTACATCACAGCTCCAGTTAGTTTGTGTTGCCAGGGCAGCGCTGAAACAGAAAAAAATTCTGGTCCTGGAGGAGGCTGTAACGAATACAGATTGGAGGTAAATTACAGATTAAACAATTGATGATACTCATTTCCATCTTTATTTTAGAAACAGGTAATTTGCATGTTTTGCAGTAATAAACACGATACAAATATTAAATGCATACAGATTAACCAAAGGGCATTAAGCATTTTATAACTTTCAGTGTTTTATATTCCTTGATTAAATAGCTAAAAGGCATCATTTCAACTCAGGTCTGTGATGCTTCAGGACTGTAGACATTGTTCATTGTTTGCAGTTTTTTATGTAGTTCTTTGCAATGCATTGAAATAATAAGATTTCCTAAGTGTGCAAAAGTGAGTTTTCTGGTTTTTTCTATTGATAGATTAATTATATTTTATGTTCCTTCTTCACATGTAACCTTATCGACTTAGTGTTGATTAACCAAAAAAAAAAAAAAAAAAAAACTTAGCTTTATTCAGAATACTGTACACAGTCATGTGGAATAATACTGACAAACTACATTGCAAATCATTTATAATGTAGTTTTTAATCACTCCACAGAACTATATTGACTATTGAGATACTTTCTGTTGATCATTCTTTCTCAAATTCCAGAGGCAGTGCTCTCATACAACAGACAATCAAGACTCTCTTCAAGCATTGCACAGTAGTTACGCTGGCTCACAGACTACGCACAATTATTGACTATGATAGAGTTATGGTAGGTAACCTCTGAAGCAGGGATTATATTAATACACACAGGCGCCTACGTATGTGTAATATACCATACATTCAACTGATCAAGGTGCATGTATTTTCTAAAAACTTGTACGGCCAAAATGTGTTTATTGACCCAACTTTTTTTGTGTCTCACGGGGAATTTTAAATCTCAGAATAAAAGCACCCCTTTTCACACCAGTGCTGCTTATTACGCTTATTTTTTTTGACACTGAGAAATGTAGTTCTGCGAGCTACCATGCAAGTGCTTGGTAAATAAAAGCAATGAAAGGTGATTTAAAAATCTTGCAGCTTTTTCAAATAATTTTAAAGTACAACACATATAAACTGACAACTTACAAGATTTTAAATTTGAGATTGATTGCCGAATGTGGTTAATACAAAATTCTCTGAATATTTCCAGGTATTGGAGACAGGGAGAATCAATGAATTTGACACACCCTACGAACTGTTACAGAACCAAAATGGAGCATTTTACAAAATGAGTCTTGAGAGTGGAGAGGATTTTAAAACATTATTACAGATAGCACAGCACAAATTTGAAAACAAACCATACAGGTAAGCACATTTTATAGTTTTTAATATAATAAAAGTAATATAAAACCAAGGTTTTTGCAAGAGCTCTTAAAGTTTTCCCCTCCATTAAACACTCAGAGTATATTGTTTTTTTATCTTTGCATGCAGCAAATATGACATTATTGTACAATTGCAAATTTTGTCAGATACTTTAAAATTTGATAACTTGTGAGACAGTGAGCTCTTCATTACTATAAAGCACTTAAACAATGTCCAAAGATCTATGAACAATTGTCCTATTTTATGTAACTTTATTTTGTAGATCTCCTTCCCTGGAGACCATATTGTCCACAGAGGTCAACATGAACTTCTCATCAGCCCCTGTAAGAAGCCCAAACAATTTTCTACCAGCATTTCAAACTCTTCGGCTAACACGAACGATTAATCATCTTTCAACTGGCGGCAACAGATTTTCAATGACAGATGATTGAAATGCCAAGAAGAATGGGAAGTCTTTTTTTTTTCAATGAAAGGCTTTGTGATGTGTGGTTTTCTGACATCACTGGTGACACAAGGATTTTAAATGGGGGTGGGGTGGGGTGGGGTGGGGGGAATCGAGGCAAAACATTTTTTTCTTGTCATTTTTCCAGGCTGAAAAAGAGCATGGAATACTTGCATCAATGGTCTGTCATTTTGTAATTCACGAAAACAGTAACTTTTTGCTTGAGAAAAAGCAAGTTGTAGATATTTCTTGACAGTAACATGCAGTTTTATACAAATGAAAGCTACAAATGCATGGTTTAACACAATCTAGCTTGAAATATTATAAACTCCTGACATATTTTTAATTTTTAAAATATTTGGAAATGTCAAGGGGAGACATGTTGAAGTGATAGTTGATTTTCACTGTGACACCTAATATATCCTTATCTGGTGATGTTTCTTGTCAAATTTGTAAAGAGGTGACATTCAAAGTTCAGAGTATGACAAAAGCGAACTGCATAATTTATGCTGTATGTCCGGGCTTTTGTTAATCACACGTGGGTATAACAAGGATATTTGCCCTCCAGAGGATTTGAATAATTAAAGGGTCTACTCAACATGTGCTAAATTTCGCATACTTCGAATGTACCATTTTATATTCATTAATAAAACCATTATAAAACCAATTTCAAGTTAATCCATCTTGCAATATTCCTTTTCCTTGCTTTATTTCATCATCTTTATGACTATCATCGTTTGATTTTACAAATTGGTGTGATTTTTTTTCAGAAACTGAAAGAGGCTCAAGACCCCCCATACCACCCTAAATCCGCCACTGATAGAAAAGATCGATCTAGAAACGCGCAAAACAGGGTCCTTGGGCTGATGAATAAGCATTGATTAAAACCATATTTCACACACACACACACACACTCCCACACACACTTGATTTATATTAGCTAAACATCCCCCTTGGATAACGCATTCCAAGCACGTAAACCATGTAAGTTTTACACGCTTCCTTGCCAGCAGCAAATAGGAATAAACGTGCCCTGTCCATTCTGATTCTAACAGAAAATATCACCCGGCCGGCCCGCCATTAAAAACTTCTGATGAATCAGTGTTATTTCAAAAGATATGTGATCGCATAAAAGGGTGACTTATCGAGTGACTGACATCTATACACTTGAAAACTCGCCTACATGTACCTTAGAACCATACAGCTTCGCGATATACCCATTTTTGTTCTATAAATTGAATAAGACGAAGAGAAAAATCCACGAAACTTACTTTGGTTCTTCTTCACTTTCCCAATTCTGCTGTTTTGAGTAGTATGCCGCTATTTGGTTGGTCGACAGAGCTAATTGTTGTCCCTTTGGTACTAATTAGGCCAACGCCTTACTGGTCTTCATCCGCCCCCCCCCCCCCTAAGTAAGCCTATTTAATTATCATTTATGTCACTTTATCTAGTAAGCATAGGCTTTGGTACAGCTTGATTGTGATCGGCCGAAGGTGAACATATTGGATCCTCATCCTCATTGTGAACGCTTCCATTATATGACGTTCATTTTAGAGTGTACAAGTAAGCTGGCAGTGCATTCAGGAGAGTTACGGATTTATTTATTTATTTATTCATTTATTAAACAGCAGAAATTTTGGATAGGAGGACTAGACGCAGAAAACGCTACATAAAACCGAGCAGATTTTATGCATATGTGGTCATGATTCAAGAAAGTATTTGACAGTAAAAAATGTTTTAAAATGTTTTGAACAATCCCTCCGATTCCAACTTTTTAAAATTGTATTTCTACATTAAAATGTATTTCTACTTTGGTCGAGGCTAAATGTTACAGACTGAATATACCAGCGTATACATTGAGAAGCTCACCAGTAATTATCTATTATGATTCATTGGTCAAATGAAGTCCATGTTTTCACAGATACATATTTAAACCGCATGTGGATAGTTCACAATGTGCGAATTTATTATTTTGCAAATATAGGTACGGTTAAGTACATGGCTTGGCAAGGTCAACAGAAACACATCTGAATGGTCTCTCTCCATGTATATATATTCCCATACCAAAGGTTTTTTTCGAAATAGATATGTCAATCTGATAAAGGTTTCCTCAGAGTAATTATACTATCATACTCAAAAGGTCGACGTTCAAGTTCCAGAAAATTTGCCGTAAGGTGCTCCAGTCTCGCCTCGCCATAAATGCGATCTCCATTAAACCGTATTTTGCCCTTGCGTTTCCCAAAGTTGGCAGGAACACCCAGGAAGAAAAGACCCCCAGGTTTAAGCATGCACCATGTTTGTGCTGCAGATTCGAGGTCCCCGTAAGGATTGAGAGGGTCGCCATATCGTCCCAGGCCCGCGTGTTCAATGGAGGAAAAAGAAACAGCGAAGTCTGCTGGTTGGAATCTCCCATCCAGATTTTTCTCTGCCAAGTTAGTCACTGATATTACAGAGATATTTGGATGCTCTATGGTAATTGTATTGTAATCCACCGTTGTCACATGATTTACTCCGACGTTCAGCAACATCACTTCCACCCAGGGGTGTTGTGTACCAATTACGATTCCTGATTTACCGTTCAATTCTGCAGCATATTTTTGTAGTAATTCCTTTAAACCTGCACTTTCATGTCCATATGCGCCAATCATTTTCTTGTTTTTATCGTTTTTGATTAATGTGTCAATAAAGGTTTTATTGAACAATGTAACATGATGATAATTCTTAAAGTTCCAGTACCAGAATTCTAGATCGAGTTCTCCATTCTGTGTGAATGCCTCCACTAATTCCGGGGGTGGTTTTCGTAACGGTGGATCATACACTTTTCCAGGAGGGTGCTTCATTCTCCGAAAAAGCGCAAGACAATTAAAATCCTTTTTAAGATACGTTTCTCCTTCTTTTCGGTGCAAATTGTAATCGCAAACTTGGCCACATGGGGCAGTAGCAAAACTATCTAGAGAACTCCCTGCAGATATCTGACCCGTCGGACCGGTAACCTGCAAAGAAAGCATGCTTTAAAGAAGCAAAAAAGACAAATAGACACACTTGTAGCACCGTGCACTCCCAACACCACATTAAACTCCCCATTGCTATATACTTTTCTTATAGGCCCCTATTCTTCTCTTTTGTCTTTTTCTATTCTCATTAAAGGGAACTACATATTGGAGGCTTCCAGTGTCTGTGTCAGCTTGTCAATGTTATGCAGGCGGTTCTGTGTCTAACAAGAAAGAAAGGTCGCACTGCCTGGAGTCTTGAAGCACGGTTTCACTCCCTTAAACAGCTTAAGAGTGTAAAGTCATTAATAATAGTATGAGTAAGAAAAACGAACAAAAATAGTAGAAAATAGCATGTTTTTTTTACGATAAAACGCAACCCCACATTACAGTTATTGACTACACTACCTCAGCCGCAACAAACACGGGGGCTTGCTCCTCAGGGAAAACTTCATTCCTGAGACTTTTTAAAACATCTCCACGTATTATCTGCATCCTACGATGGGCGTAGAAAACCAGGACTAAGAGGAAAAAACCTCCTACGCGGATTATCCATCTTCTTCGATTCAACCTATTAACCATTCTGCAGAATTCACATCTGAGAAACACTTAAGAATAATTTCAGCATCAAATTCACCCCAACAAAAACACTTTCGGTGCGACTACCTCAATATGCAGCAAGCACAGAGTCAATTTATTCCCGTTTGAAGCAAAGTTTGCCGTGTTCAGAGCTATTAGCTTTTGGCTACTGCCTTTAGGTGAAATAGCAGCATTTTATATCTCACCCCATCAGCTATACATCACGCATAACAAATAGTCATTTTTTATTTTCCACTTTGCATAGAAAGTACAGCACGACTTAGAATGAAAATAACAGACAGTCGATTAATCTTTGCAAATAATGATGTTTACTTCATTTCATATAAATATCAACAACAAAATCAGCTAAGTTAACCATCTTCACTCCCAAAGGTACTGTATAATGCCATATACTACAGCCTTTACAAATGTTTAATTCAGCATATTTAACATAATTTTACTTCTCCATTTTCCACACAGGATATGGAATCCAAACACACAAGTAAAATAAAATCTTAACTGTCAACAGATTTTAATTTGCAGCCAAAGGGTAGAAAATATCAAGTTTTAGTAATAAACTTAAGAAAAAAAGAAACGAAACTCATAATCATAGAATATTAATGAATAAATCAATAAATAAATCATGGAAATATTATATAAGAGGAATGTATTACTATTCATGCTCATCTTTGTATCACAGGTTCTTCTAATTTCCAGGAAAAAATCAATTCATACTGCAAAATATGACAGACTTATGACCATTGATATAAAATGCATTCACATAATGATAGTCAAGGGTTGTTCATATGATTTATAAAAATTAATTGTCCTTTAAGTATAACCATCACATATTTGGTTTGTATACCATATTCAAAAAGAAAAAAATTTTTGAAAAAATAATAAGTTTTCCATTCAACATTCTCTTCAGTTAATGTCCTGATTTGTCCTAGCATGTGCTACTGCAGTATATGTAAATATATAAATTATATACATACTGCTGACAAAGAAATCTTTTATCAGGTCTATTAGTTAAATATGCTGAACAGAATCGATGTCTAAGATAATTTAATTCCATAAACAGCTCATATAATAATAATAAAAATAATAAAAATAATAACATCTCTTGCCAGATGCTCATAATCCCTTTTGCAAATGACCACAAATTCTTCCTACTAAAAATGATAAAGGAAGAAAAACAATCAGGAAAAATATTCTAAGTGAGAAACAAAAACTTCAAGTAACATGTAGCTGGTTTATATGACATTTATATTTCATATACCTGAAAACAAGTGTGCTCTGTCACTTATAATATCACTGAAAAGTGTACCTCTTCACATATAATTTACTTCTGATTGTGTAATTCCATTGCACTGTATTTTTATGTATCTTAGCTATAGCTCTCACAACACCAAACAGCATTTTTTTCTTGTAAAGAATGTAACATGTTTACAACATATCTGTCCCTGTGTGGCATTCATAGCACCTGCCCCACTGATGACATCATCATTATGTAAATCAATAATTTAATTACAATAAGATGGAAAATAAGCAATAACTATTTACATAATGTGGAAGATCACAAAATTTAAAGCATCATTTATGGTAAATACAAATCTAGAACCATGTCAGTTCATTAAACACCCTCACCCAGCAATACTAAACCATACTTTATCTAATCTTTTGTCTAATATCACATATTAAATAAAATATTGTCCACATATTGGTCAGTTCTTAAAGCATTTGTGACATTTTTTATAACATGCACTCTGCTATTTTGAGTTCAATAACTTCCTATCTGTTAAATATGGAGTATCTTCTATCTAGAGAACTTCTACTGTTTTCCTTTCATGTTGATATGTTTGTTTTAATGATATATGAAAGTTGAATATTCAATATAATACAAGAAAATTTTACTGTAATAGTAAGTACTAATAAATACAAGAAGACTTGTAATATGATATGCAACTTGGAATCACTAAGTACTTAAACATTAATCTCGCCAACAATATCAATTGTTCTCAATTTCAAGTATTTCTTTAACTTGAAAAAACCAGCATGTTATATTAACTTCCATATCATACATTGTTCTTAATATGCAGTACCTTTTAAACGTCTTGAAATGTGTACTTTCATTTTGATCCATCGTCGATAGCGATTTTCCTTTGATATATGTATGCTGGACAGTGCACCTATGATCCAACATTTTCCACAACAAAAGTCTTTCACAGAGAAAATAACAAACCTGAGAACCATCCAGTATAAATCCTATTTTGTTCTTATAGTTAAAAAAAGATGTGGTTTTCTTACTAGTAGGCCCAAGTCAACTGACTCAAATCTACCGTCATTTTCCATATCCCCAGTTTGACAATGAGGGATCAATCTGTGGTCCACTAGTTTTGCTGAACGGTCAAGATTGTGGTCATTTTGTACTAGCCATTCCAGCCAATGGCTATATGACACACAAGAAGATAGCACATTGCAAAAAAGGTAGTCACCAGCATCATAGGAAAACCAACCCTGAAAAAATAACAGAAATATATAACTAAAAATGGTACAATCAAAGTTTAGTTCATCGTAAGGTAGGTCAAAGGTCAATTTCAAGGTCACAGTAAATTGCCAGTATGTGACTTCCTATTCAACTTCAATAGTAACTATGGACCTATCTCTGCCAGGTTTGGAGTTAAAAGAGAAAGAAATAAGCAGAGTTCAGTTCATGATAATAAGTAGGTCAAAGGTCAATTTCAAGGTCACAGTAAGATTGCCAGTATATGACTTCCTATTCAAGTTCAATAGTAACTATGGACCTATCTCTGCCAGTTTTGGAGATAAAAGGGAANTGTCAAAAATAGAAGGGGGGTGTTCAAAGCATGTGGTTCGTAGCCCTGAGAAAAACGTTTAGTTTGTTACCATGGAAACAAAGAGGGTGAAAAAAGTGTATATCATTTTAATCCCCTATCTTTAGGTTATAACATATCACCAAACTAAATCATTAAGTGACACCTGTATAAACTGTAAGGCCAATCAATATAACCCTGTTTTTCAGATGAATTTTTGGCTGATTAACCCCACAAATTGTGACTGCCCATATCTCTGTAGGTAGGGATTTTTTTCAGGAAATATTGCAGCCTCAGATATTGTTCATATAAAAGTTCAAACACACCAAATATGGTGTAAATCCGTTCACCCCCGCCTTGCCGCATTTTCTACATTTGGGCTGGTTTTCTCGTGGACACACACTTAATATACAAATATTAGGGTCAATATATTGCTACAATTCCAAAATCACCTTGCTACTGACTACATGGACACATACTGATTATACATAAAGAGCCCAATAAAATTTTACCTTTCCCAAAGCATATTGACAAGTTGGTTCAAAAACCTATTACTTTTAATATGAATTTAAATGATTAAACTGTTGACTGTTAAACAGTTTGGTTAATGGACATTTTTTTGCGAAGAAATGCTCTAAAAAGAAAAAGGAGAAAATCATAATATGAATAAAATGCATGGTCAAAAGGTGTCACTTTCAACAATTACCTCCAAGACAAGCTCCAAATGCTAGAGCCCACACCATTGGCTCTATAGGAAGCTGAATACTTTCTTCAATATGAATCACAACAGGAATCTTGAAATAGAAATAAAAAAGAGTTGGTAATACATAATAATCAAGCATAATATCAAGATATTATCTATAACAACTGTTAGTAATACATGAATCATGCATGTTATGAAGATATTATTTATAACAATAGTTACTGTTAGTAATGAATCAAGCATATTATCAAGATATTATTTATAGCAATATATAAATGCTGTAACATTTCTAAATTAAAAAATATAGATAAGCACTCAGAGCATAGACCCCCCCCTCCCCCCCACCAAGGCAGCTCAATTGTCATAAACCATTTATTACTTAGTTAATCAATTAATTAACCAAATCTATATTATAACAAATTAATTATTAACTAAATAATTGGTTAAAGTTTCAACATTATTAATAACTGGATAATTAATTACATGACTAATTAATAAACTTATTAATTAACTTGCTACTTAATAACCAGTCAAATATAGCCAAATTCCAACCAAAATTTCACCACAATCCCTCTGTAACATTCTGCATAATGTTGCTTAAACAGGCAGACAGACTGATTATAACTTATAACTATATAACTAACCATAAATAAATAAATAACCTAATAAATGGATCAGGACCCAAATCACTCTGAAGTGAGCCCTATCCTGAAAATTAACTTTCTGAGTTTGGCTAGTGACGAACAAACAAACGGACTCCAAGATAAACACATAACCTCCTTGGCAGATCTTAACCTTGCCAAGTCTGCATTCTTACCATAGCAGTTGTAAAGGGAATGTTGTCAATGAAGCTGGAAGTTATAGCCGAGACCCACAAGATGAGAATAAGGGCCACTGCCAGTCTGTACTCCTCATCAACTGTCCTTATAAGGGCTACAACTTGATCCCCTATCCACTCTATCAAACCAAGCTCTGTCAGTGCCTAAAAAATAACATCTTTTCCAGTTTTAGAAATAAAACTGAACAAAAATAAAGATATAATCAAAATAATTTTCAATTAGCTTTTTTCATGAGAGAAAGTGATTGTATTCCCCAAACATATTGTTTGATACCTCAGGATCTCAATTTTTTAGACTACTACAGACTTATGACTCAAGGATGAGTTTAAAACAATGTATAATATTATGGCAAAAACACAGAGATCAATTTTTCCTTCACCTCCATGAGCACAAACAATGCAGCAAAGAAGAGCAGCGTTGCCCATTCCACTCTGTGAAAAACGCTCTCTAAGTCTTCAATATCGGCCAGCACCAGTAACCATATAGCACCAATTATTGCAATCCACCCTGAAGATTAAAAATAGAACTAGAAAAGCACCCAATGACCCTTTGTCAAGGCAGCTCATTTTTTAAAAATAAATTAAAATTAATGGACCAAAACCTAAACAATTCCAAGCTTTTACTCATTTCTGAATTATCCTGAAAATCCTATCAATTTATCCCTAACTTTTTTGGAGAGGAATATAATTGTAGAATTCCCTGAATTCAGTTTTCACTCATTAACACTGATTGCAATTCCATTATATTACATAAAGCTAGAAGTGAAACTCCAAAAGATATAAACTCAGCATGCTTAGGGTGGACCTTAAACAAACTACTTGATGTGAAACGGTTCCACCTATCATGTTATATTTACATTCAAAACCAAACATCTAAATATAATATGATATAATGATCTTTTAATTAATCCAGATTCTTTCATGGCATAATTTTTTGTTTAAGGAAGCTTAAATTGGCCAAATCCAACTTTAAATTATGGTAATGATCATATCTTTTCAATTGAGAAAAATGATCAATCTTTTAGATATGTAATTCTGAAATAATTTAAAATATTTAATATTTGTATGTAGCATTTGTGGTGCTTTGACTGTATAGAATTGAACTATAAGACAGCATGCTTTTCAATTTTGTTGCTACCATTTAAAAAGAATACTCTACTTATAAGAATTTACGACTTCAAAAATACAGTATCTGTAAAATTTGCAAAGTTTTCCATTGAAAAGAGAGAGTCATTTCAGTTACCGTACATCTCCATTCAATATATAATATATTTAGCTTTATTTGCTTCTCACCTAGGTCCAAATGCATCTGTGTAACAAAAGAGTGGAGGAAGAAGGCCAGTATAACAACCAGCAGCACTATACTGGACTTCAGCAATAGCCAGTGGTCAGTGATACGGTACTGGAAAGAGAAAAATATAATCTACTGTGACATCTTAAATTTTTTGAGTGGATGGTAAATAAAAGAAGTCATCTTCCTCTGAAAACAAGCAAAGAAAAAAAAAACAAAGGATTTTGGGAATGTTGCCATTACTGCTGATCATGAGCTTTTATAATAAGCATGTCCTGTTGTTCATGAATAAATACCATCATAAATGATGTATTGTTACCACACTTTTATACCTTTTTCTCCAGCTCGGAAACACTTTCTTTAAAGTCTTTTTCAACACTCCGCCTAAAATTAAACATGAAAAAAGCAGTTATCATCATTTAAAGCACAGCAGTAAAAGCAATGGCACACAATGTCCTTTATATTTTTATTACTCTTTTTATAACTTCTCAATTTCCAATGTCAAGTTCACCACTTTTTCCTGCCTGCTAATACCTTGAAGTTATCTCTCAACAAAACATTTGAATTATCAATTTTAACTAATTTCTATTTTTAGATACTAACAAAGGATTAAAACGATATACATTTTCCTTAATTCCACCACTTACTTGGTTTTATAAAGCTTTTTCTTCACCAGATTCTCCAGTGTGACAACTTTCTGCATGAGCAATGCTTTCACCACACTTTCCTCTCTGGTGACAGACGCTATCCTTTTTGCACTGCGACGCCATACTTTAATCTCATGCTTCAATTCTACAAGTTCAAAAAGTCATAATATATCGCAATTCTAAAAATCATCTAGGCAACTTATCAAATATTGGGATGCTCATTATGTAGAAATTAATAATTATTAATCATGTATTATAAGCTTAAAATTAATTTTAGCTATTTTTATGCCTCATAAATCACATGAAACAGTTTCTTGCTAGTTGTTTAAAGCAACAAAAGCAGTATTAGAGTTGGAGAAAGTAGCTAGTAAGGGTAACAGTACCTGCGATTTCTGGGGGGAATTTGTTTTTGAGGTTGGCAAGATTTCTGTACTGAACTCTAAGGAGGCCATAGGCACCAATTAACACAAACAGAATACCCAGTATCATGTGTCCTGTGAAGTTGGCAAATGTTATATTCTACAAGAGAAAAGATTTAACGCAAATGTTACATCCTACAAGAGAAGAGATTTTCAGCAAATGCTATATCCTAAAAGAGAAAAGACTCAGCAAATGTGTCCAACAAGAGAACACATTTTCCTCTTAAAATTTTCTCCAGCACCATGGAAAAATGGAGGATGGATCAACAAAGATAATTTGGAAGACTGTCAGAAAATAGCTCTGGATCCACCCCTGTTGCTGATAATAAACCTATCTGGATAAATAACCTGACATCAGCCTTCATTCTTACCTTCTCCTTAAGATAGGAGTTTGAGACTATGATCACATTGGGTGGGTCACCGATTGCAGTAGCTGTGCCTCCGACATTAGAGAACAACACAATAGCAATGAGCAAATGTTTAGGCTCCAGGTTGAGGACTTCACATAACCTGATGGGTAAGGAAAATAGGATAATAATTATATTATAATATAAATAAATTGATGTGAGGAACATTCACAACTGAGTTTCTAATTAAATAATATTAAAAATTTATCTTTTTCCAAACCAGTGATAGCTGCAGTAACTGTATATAGGGGCAAATAAAAACACTTATATAAGTAGCTGTCTGAAAAGAAATGGTCCAAATTCAAGTCTTAGAGTGGAAGTGAAAATAATGAAAAGAACAGTCAGTCAAGTCTAGAGTCATTCTAGCTGATGTAATGCTGAAAACCTTTTTGAACATAATTTTCTTCAGTTTTTGAATTAATATATATTTTCCTACCATTGCTCTAACTCTTTAATTTTTTTCATTTAGTAGTTCACTCACATCTCTTTTACAACACATTCTTATTGTCAGCTTCTTGTAAGATTAATGCCAAAACATGCTGTCAACAACCCTGTAACTCTTAACATCACTGAGTCACTTCACCACTGTTCTTATGAAACCTACTGCACTCAACTTTTGTTAAGATTAATGGCAACAGACGCTGTGACATACAGCCTACAGGGCATTAGGACACACGTCAGTAATCAAATCTGGATCTTTCTCAGCCTAACATGCCTCTTACTCCACCCAGCTTTTTAAAAGCTATATAAAGATGTGTTTCTCCATGCTACTTGTCATATAATGATAATAAAATATGTCAGGGTAAGAGATTTAGTGTAATATGCAATCATACATACTGGTTTCATTGGTAATATAAGTACTTCATCTTAAAGTTCATCTTAAATCAGTTCCACATTATTATCATAAAACTGCAATTGAATTGTGATAAACAATATCAATTATTAGTAAGTCATTTTGTCAGATAATTGGACTGAAAGTTTAATTCAACACTACGTGTAATAGAAAGAAAAACACATCTTTGACGGCCATCTTTTTACACTCTCATTTGCCCCAAGGTTTTTTCAATTTTTGAAATAATTCTTCAATAATGTTTAACAATTTCACATTCAGATATAACATAATGCATTTCTCACCTTATAGTGACTGGCGTCATAAGTAATATGGTAGTCACATTGTCTAAGAAGGCTGACACAACAGCTCCAAAGAAGCACAGGATGGTCATCAGTGGCCACACTTGGCCCTTGGCTAACTTGTAGGCCTGGAAATGTACATATTTTGAACATTTTACAGCTAGGTATACCGTGTGTTGGAAAATGTCCCAAACTCCTATTTTCCTGTTTAAATACCATGCACAGCAACACAATACTTGAAAAAAAATTATTATATATATTAAATAATACATCAAGGAATTCTGTGGTGCAATGTGCCACAAATAACTGTCTATAGCCCATTACATGTTACATACATGTATATAATTCACATAGGGCATTTAAATTTTTGCTCAGTGCATATACGTGTACAGTACCTACCAATAATGCACAATAGTCAAAGAACCCAGTATCACTGAAAATGGCCACCATTACCATCATTCCAAACAGCAGTGACAATGTTTCTGTGTCAAGCCATGAGATTACGGTAGACATTGTTGGTCTCTAGATAGTAAAGTAAATGTGTGTTGCATTTTAGTCAATAGTTCTCATTACAGCTGACTCGGAACAGAAAGAATACACAATCATATAGTATATCATTATGCAAAACAAACTGAAAAAGAACCCTTTATCCTTAAAATTTACTAAAAATTATTACGTTCTATCCAGGATGTAGTTTTTTTTTTAAAGCAGGCACAAATATTTCTTAATTGAAGTTTTCTGAAAATCAGTTGAATACGTGTTCATTTCACGGGGAATATACCTTTTTGCTTTGGCCCTCAAACAAATCTACTTTCAAAAGTAAACCAAATGAAAATTTTAGCTTTGTGTGTTTTAATATCTTTTTAATGAAAAGTTTTAATTTATATCTCACACACAATGTCAGGAGTTTATGAGAGAATAGCTACCTCATTCATCGCAGACAACACAGCCAGGGCGGCCATTGATCCCATCATTGCCGCCAAGGTCCTGTGAACCAACTGGAAGAAATAAATTCCATTAAAAACTTTATAATTCTAAATTAAAGATAACATCACCATCTTGTTTTTGTCAAATAGTTAAAATAAAAAATCAGACACCAGAGGCAGATTCGTTACCGTAGCAACAATACCCACCTCAAACACAATGAGGACATAAACACCAAGTAGAACAATGGCCGCATATACCACAGCATTGTGGCTATCTGCTGGAAGTGTTAGATAGGACAGAGACACAGGGACCCCATAGGCAGTGGTAGTGTTCAGCCTTAATTTGAATGGCCCCTCCTCACTAGAATATAATATCATGGCAAAAATAACAATGTTATCTGTTTATTTTGAACTAAATATGATTGCGAGTTTATGCCACTATTATATTTCTTAATCATAAAAATAACCATTATGATATCTAATTTAAAAATTGTTCACAGAGTTCCAATTATCCATACACCCATTTTTGAGTAAGTACTTTCTAGTTTTTGAGTCACTTTAGGAATGGACATAAATAAAAAAGTTTAAATCAAAACTTTGAGAAAATAACAATTTGTGTTGGCAATAAAACAGAAATTTGCTGATATTTCCAGGAATTTTCATTTTTACATATTTTGCTTCAAATTATTAATAAATTTCTTCCAATCACTGTGAGCCTAAAACATATTTACTCCATCTTGTTTAAACTGCGTGTCAATTAAAATTAACAATATCTGAAGCTAATGAATAGATGTAATTGTAAAATGAAAAGTTATGTTACTAAAATATAATTATCATTTACAATTGACAACTGTTAGCAGTGCAAAATCATTGCCAAGTCTCATCTTGGAATGCTAGAAAATAAGGAACTTACTCAGGGCCTGTGAAGTCAAACAAATATGTATATTCTTCAGTTTCATAGGAAGCATTTTCCTTAGAAAGTATCAAAGTCTCCTGCTGGATAGCCGATGATTGCTGGAATATCATATATCATTTAAACATTTCACTGAAATTTGAGAAATTCCTTCCTGGAGTTTAGGAATGAAAAAAATCAATAACATTGCACTACAGGTTAAATGGTAGACATATCTTTTCAATCCTGAAATAAAAATCAATTATACAGTTACAGTAGCCTCTGCAGAAATCAATGGCTCAAAACAATAATCCTATCCAAAAAAACAAATAAAAAAAAATAACTATGAATTTGTACTACACTCAGATCAAGTTTAGTCCAACAATCTTAAAGTTTTTTTTTGTGTGTGTGAATGGCATCTAAAAACCATCTAAAAACTTTCATCTTAACATTTCTTCAGTCATTCTTCAATCAACAGCTTAGTATTGAAATTGTTTTTTTTTTTTTTTTGGCTTCTAACACTGTCAGAATAAAGCTACTATGAACATCTCCACCATGTCCAGGTAAATATCTAAGTATCCGTCTATCTCCTGGACACAGGTTACCTATTCACCCTGATAGCCTCATGCCCTGAGGGATAACTCTAGACACATACAGCTACTAAAATACTGAAAGCAAACAATACCCATACAAGACAATGACAGAAAAAACTTTGCTGGGGCTTTATCCATACCAGTTTGACCGCCGGTTTCTGAGTCCCATTGTCAAATGCAGCAGAGTTAGCCAACGTCAGTGTCATATTGTTCTCGTAGTCTCCGTGGTCATCCAGGGCTTTAACAAAGGGTCCACTGATCATCACTTTCACTATGCTCTGACCCGCACCTGGAGTTATGTCCAAACCTGTAAATAGAAAGTTGAAAATATTTTAAAATGTGGATCAGGCAGATTCCATCTTCCAGCAATTACAAAATAACTCACATTTCTGCAGTTGGTTATACATACTGGTAGTCTTACATTAACTTAATATCTTGCTATATACCTACTGGAATGGACTTGTGAGAGTCAGTTGAAAGGACTTCATTTTATGAAGATAAAGTAGACACACACTTACTTAATGGCTGGTAAGCCGATACTGAAAACTGATGTAGCTCCTCTTCATGTTCTTCAGATATGCCAACCCAGACCTTCAGATAAAGTTGAAGGAAAAAAACAACTAGTGAATGTATGTTTTCAATTAACAATTATGACTATAATTATGTCTGTATTAGCAATTTTCTTAAAATGTATGTTCAGATTTAAATATAATATTATATCATTCTATGACAAAATTGAAAATTTGTACCTGTCCTTAAACATAATGCACCTGTGAAATGTTATAGGTTGCAGGTCATATCTCCTTACGTAACCATTATGTAAAAAAATAATGATATGAAATGAATAGCTGTTGAAATAAACTTTTTATTGATATGCAACATGTTGGTACTAGTATACATCTTGGTCAGTTAAGAAAATTAACCGTACCTCCCCACCCCCCCTCTTCAACCTTCAGCCTATCTTGAAAATACTTATCAAATTTTGATGCCCTTCCTTGGTAAAAAAAGTCAGTCTGACTGAAAATGAATCTATTTGATCTTTTAAATTACAACCATATCAAACTGATGCAGTTTTTACTTACAGAACACATGATTGTCGCTATAAAGAGCAGAGCAACTTTGATTTGCTTTAACTTCTCTCTGGTTGCTTTGGATGGTTGCCATGATTTTGATCTATCGGTATCTTCTTTTTGTGCATCTTGAATCAAGTTAGCAGTGGATCCATTGCTAATAATGGTGACTTCACTTTGTTGGCTGAAATTAAAATGTCACACAGAATTTTATAATGCACTGTAACTCTCTTTTTATCATGGTTATTGGGGATTACATCATTTGCCTCAAGGAACTTCAAACAAACAAGTTAATAAACTCAACAGTCAAAAAATAAAGAACCATTTCACATCTACCACAAAAAGGTCTCCTAAACAGTTATGACTGATAACCAGTGAACAACAGCAACAACCAAATACCAGTCAACAGTGCCACACTACCCACTATCAATATATCAGCAGCATGTAAAACATTCAGTTTTGCCACAATACAAATTTTCATTTTAAAGATAACCCTACTGACAGCATTCAAATATAGTGCTCTGTAAGCTGAGTCAGGATTCCTTACTTTATTGACCAGGAGGGCATTAACTTCAAAATTCAACACACTAAATTTTCTATTAAAAAAGTACATGTTACTGAAACCCAAAGAATATGCTGCTCGTAGTCATATCTCACTGAAGCACAAGTAACTAATTGACTCACTCTGGAATAAGCAATATACAACCACCAATGGCCAGATTGGATTCCAGTCAGGTATAGCTGGAGAAGTGTTGATATATATATATATATAATTTCTTTTTTTTTTTTTTGGCGGGGGGAGGGGGGCTGTTGTCGATGTTTCATGGCTATTCATCATAACTGTTCGTTTCCTATTTAGTGGGCCTGGATAAGCAAGCCCCCTAAGCTGCTATGTAAGTATTTCACTTTTAGACTGGATTCCCATGCCTATAGATCGATCCGCCTGGATTGGTCTGACTCCCTGAGAAGACTCACTAAATTGTTGTCAACTAACTGACTTAACTATCTGCCACGCCTACCAAATCAGCTAAGGGGTAAAGATAATTACCCCCTAACAGCTTTACTAGGCATGTCGACAGACATTTTAGCCTGTTAAGCTGATAACAATTTAGCGAGTCTCCCCTGGGAGATAGATCAATCCAAATTTCCCTAGGAATGGTCCCTAATACCTTGTAGCCTCCGTGCTACCGTATTTGCTGTCCATTAGAGGTGTTTCTTCATTATTGTTACTCCTTATACTTCCATAGCTGTCAACACTGTTGCCGCTGCTACCATTCTTAGTTGGAGCTCTCAGCTGGTGTATTTCCATACTCTCATCTTCTAGCCCTCTTAGCTGCCTGGAAAGATATAAAGAAAATTATATCATCATGATGACACCCTAGCCCTCTTAGCAACCTGGAAAAAATAAGAAAAAGTAATTGTTTTTATAAGGGTCATCTGAACTTCTCAGTAACCGTAAATGTTGAAAAGGAAAAAGAAGTTCTAACAAACACATAAGATGAAACTCATTATGACAATCAAACGGTCTTTACAATGAAGGCTCCAAACATTGTCACAATACATTCACTACAAAATACAAAGCACTATACCTATACCACTGTACAAGTCTTGCCATATGAAACTGACTGATGCCAACCTTGGGCTATAACCTACAAGCTTTTACACATTAACTTTGTCAAATGACAAAATGTATGGGTCTATATTTACATCATTTATTATCAAGATAACAGGAAAGTATTGATATGTTATCTTCTTTTTTTGATAACAGTTACAGTATGTAAAATATAAATTTGTAGTATTACCCAATATTAGATTTTTGGACATGTAGATTAAATCATACAATCGAAATAATTATCTTTTCTCAATCCTACATTGGTTTATTGGTTTACTGAAGATAAATGATATCAACACATTACTGAGCTTTTTAAAGTTTACTCAATCACTTTTGCAGATAATAAAAGACAATATGCAGCAAATGACGTTTGTTAGGATTTAATTTACTACACATCATAATACCTGAAATAAGAAAATTCTCCTTTTAAAGGGGCACTCTTTGTCAGTCTTAATATCCTGCAAAGGTTCTTTAGAATCTCTTCCCACTTCACACCTTAAAAACTATAAAATCCCTTGTTTTCAATAGCTCCTTCTGAACTGACAAGAAAACATGGCGTTTTAAATGACTGATAAGTCATTTAGATCTAAATTGACCACTTAAAAAAAAGGAAGTAAACATAGAATCCAAAATTAATATTGAGCAGGCTAAGCAATGATCGATTCATGAGAAGTACAAAATTGTTTCTTTCCCCAAGGAAATTCATTTTGGCAGGTAAGTCCAGTAGTGACTACCTATACATATGTTAAAGAACAATACTGTTAGTAATCATGTTTTAATCATCAGGAAAAGATTATTATCAACATTTCAATTGTTACAGAAGCTCATGTGCAATTAGGGTATCGGGGGGGGGGGGGTTGTGATTTGTCATAGAAGTGTTTTCATAATTAATATATTATTCAGTGGGACACATACCCATGTACCTTTCAAAAAACTTTGTCTCTTCTACTAGTAATTTTAATTTTACTGATTCAGTTCAAGCAAATAAGGAGTTGAAATTTTCTCTGCTTTGAGGAATAATATACATATACATGAAAAGAAGAAAGTCGCAGAGTGGGAAGAATTCTGTCATATGGTGATAAAATACTATGAAATACCATAATAAATAGCAAATAATATGAATTTGTCAGCTACTGAGCACTGATGTTTCTGTGGAAATCACTTGCAAGGTACATTTTTGCACTGTCACCAATCACATGCACATAAGAAGATAAGAAAATCTCCTGATCACTCAATGCCTCTTGTCTTTCACGTGCAATACTTCCTCAAATGGGGCTTTTCCCAGGATTGGGGGTACACTGTACAGGTCATCCAAAATTACCACCTGTAATTTTCTGCAAACTTTCAGGGAGTGTAAGTATGCCTAAAGCCGTCATATTAAAAAAAAAAAAAAAAAAAAAATGATGGCTAGACAGTTCACTTGGAAAACCCTTGTCCTCGAACTCATAGCCTTGATAGAAGCAATCATGATCATCAAATAGATATAATATTTTGACTCTCAACACAAAGTAATTAGCCAGTTCAGAGGAATTATTTTGGACATCAGACAACTACGACATCAACATCACTGCAAATACACAATGATGTTGGGATTTACATTAATTTAATAAATTTATCCTGGGGAAAGCAAAAATTTGCCATCATCTCATAAACAGCACTGGGTTAATCATTCACATTAATAGGTAAAATGATAAGAGGATCAAAATTGTTAAATAATTTTATATTTACCCTCAAATGATAAAAGGAACAAGTAGTAAGACTGCTATATAACTAAAGGTATATAATTATTATATGACCCAACCCCTGCAACTCTTGCATTATGATCATCTACATATTAATCCTGATCAAAGCTGTTCCTAAAAATAATTTTTATTGGCTTTTTGTAATGTTAATTTTATGACAGTCAAAACACAAGGGAGGGTCCAGTGGTGTACGTAACCTTAGTACAGAGACAGAGCAACCGACCCCAATTCTGAGCACACTGCAATTTTTGTATGGAAATAAAATGCACTAAGTAATGGTTTGGTGAAGTGGCAAAAATTTACAACTTATCCTAGGTAAAAAAATTAAACTAGCCTTTAGTTCTATAACACTGTGTCCTTAAAGTCATTTCTAAATTCCACAATGAAAACATGTTTAAAAGCATGAAGTTTTTCTTTGTTTTGAGTAATATGCTATACCAGCAGCCCAATTTCAAAACATTTTACCTATCAAACCATCCACTTCCTGAGAATTTATACACGGAAGTGTCCATGCCTTTTTAGAGAATTATTATCTGGACAATCCCTGATATAGACAATCCCCAACTTCAATATTTCTTGTGCTTTGCAATATATTGCTTATCTTATGAACAAGGCATATCCAGATTCTGTCTACCATGTGAATGTGTATTGACAGCATGTGTGACTATAAAGCAGGTCAGTCAATGAGGTACAGGTACATACAGGTAATAAACACAGAGAGCATTCACATCAAGGTAACAACAGTTCACCACTTATGTAAGTCACAGTCACATGAGAAATCCAAGGACATCTGACTAAATCATACGCTTTATCTTTATACTGGGGTAGCACAGGCAATTTTTTTCTCTTAGCCAAATCACTACTTTTTAATTTTTTCTCCAAATGATTTAAATTTAACTAAAACAAGTCAAACCAACCAGTTTTTGTTTAGCCAAATTGAGTCAGTTTTACCATTTGTCTAAATTGGCGAGTGTTAGCGCTATCCCAGATTATACGATTTAGAGATATATATTTTTCCAATTTTAAAGCATAATACTAGAAGTGGTAGAGGCTTTAAAGGAAAACACCACAGCTACAGTAGATGATTTTTCCGTATTCTGTGAAACCTAGGGGGCACCCTTTAAATATTAATTGTTCCCTCCCTGCCTTCATTATCTCAGGTAATTGGTGCATTTTTCACACCTTTCAGGAAAAAGGGAACCAGTCCCTGATCTGACTGATAGAAATAAAGTGAATATATGTACATGTATGTGTTGATGACTTCATTTCATAGTCTTTTATATTACTTCTTGTACTTTGTCAAGTTTGCCCTTTGAATAATCATATTCTATATCCATATATTGTAGCATTCAATCAATTTTTTGCTTCTTTATTATTAGTAACTTTTGTCTCAGAAAAAATTTTTCCAAAGCAGAAAACAAAAGCAATAAAAAATCACAATAAAAAGTTGTAGTCAATGTCTTAATTCAACTTTATGGACCAATTTGTGTACCCTATTTAGAAGGAAAACTGAAGAGCTTAAGTTAGAAAAAAAGGGGTGTCATTTTTCACTTTTTTTGATATATATGAAAAAATAGGAAGTTTTAAAGAGGAAAACAGATCTTATGGAGGACAAAAACTAATATGTCCAACATGTCCCTCATTTACTTAAATTGGTTACACAAGTTAGCACTCATAACATGCTCTTCTTATAAAATGCTGACTGTTTAAGTAAACAAACTGTAAGGCAGATACAGAAACTTTTTCCTTTCAACCTGTGCCTATTCTTCCTACAAACATAAGCACATCTTACATGTTTATATGTTAACCTCACTTTAGAGACATTGAATAAATATTTATATTCACAGTAATAAAAATTTAATGCATTTTCAAACTACTTACATCGAAAAAGGTACATGCAACCTCTCACAACCTGATCAGCTGTTCGCCAGTCAAAATCTTACTATATAGGCTATGAAACTGTTTGTGTTTATCTTTTATCTATGTTGACAAAGTTGCCATTGTGACCTGAATTTGTAAAGGCTGTTTGTGCATTTTTCCTCAGATGAAATAATCGCAGGATTCTGAAAAACTTATGCAACTACCAGGCAATTAAAACTTAATTTAAACTGCTACTGTAACATCACCTTGGTCTCATAAATATGTAAAATTCTGCAAAAGATATTATGTTCTATCCATATATATATTATTTATATATATTATATATATATATATATATGTATATATATATACAAGGTACTACACCTTGCAATTTAAAAATCCTTTCTCATTTAATACATTTAAAACAAATAATACCAAATAACCAAAACACATATGAAGTGGTCATACTCACTGAAAAAAAAATGTCAAAAAGGGAAAAAGACTATGCACTTATGTGATACATGTACCTATATTGACAATCTACTATAAGTTTACAGATAAGAAGAAATCACTTCTTGACTGTGTCCCACTATATAACCCTCAAGCGGCGGCATCTTATCTTCTGTGCCACATACATGTAGAACCATGTAGGAGCACGCTGTGCCCACTGGTCACATGATAGGGTCCAGATCTGATAAAGACTTGTCTGAAGGCATTGCCAATCCAATCTAATTATCTGGATTGTAGTTTTTGAAGACTAGAATTGAGTGTCACAGCCAGTGATTTTTTGACATAATATACTTTAAATTTATTACCTATAAAAACAGGTCTTGATCTTTATTATTTTTTTTTTTGAAGGGGGGCTATTAGAAAGTTACTCTTACTGCTTTATGTCTACTTTACAAGAGGTTTTCAATTCAATGAAAATAATATAGTTAATCAAGTTCCCTTGCCATTTCTTTTTTATTCATATGGAGTTCATCCAACCATTTTAACTCAGTCTTCTCTGACACCTGTGTCTGATTCCATTTTTTGATATTATGAAGTTATAAGATTTTGAACATGCACCTGTAAGCTCAATTAAATAAATAAGATTTAAAATGATGACAATTTCTTGGTAGACTTTTAAATGCATTCTTTCAGCTAATACAACTAACTCAAGCCCTTCTTTTTGTATTTTGAAACAAAGATGGGGCAAATCCCCCAAGAAAAATAAATGTGATATCAAGTTAACTATTCACAAGGAATACAACAGTAAGTTTCTTTTAATTCATTCAAATTTGGAAAACATTGTTTCTATTTTCTGGAAGATGTGACTAATAATTTCTAGTAAATATCACCATATGATGAAATTTCAAACACTGCCATGCCCAATATATATAGCATTGTACAAAAAATTTCAACAAAAACCTTGAGTCATCTTCAGTTTTAAAAAGACTGGTGATTACCATGGCAACCCAAGACCACCCACAGTGATCAGCAGAGGGCCACGCCATGCAGACAAGTCTACTGTCTGTGCATCAAGCCATGAATAATCATGACATGCACAATTTTCATTAAAAAAATAAACATTTGTGTGTTTGTGTGTGCACTCATATACACGAGTACAATTTGTAAGCTCACTTACCTTGCTAATGGAGCAACAAGTTTCAATATGTCTGAAGGTTCTTTCCCCCGATTCATTTCAAACTTGCTATTAGACTAACAGCTCTTGCAAATTTTCAAAGAACTATTAGCTATGGGAGAACAGTGAACTAGAAATCACTGGCTGTATGCACAGGCATGCTCACACCTCCCCTAACACCTTGCCAAGTAAGGCAAAGACAGTCTCATGATTGTTTCTTAATAAATCAATTTTCCTCTTCTAAAACCATGATTAATATTCTATTCCTTTTTCGCAAAACAATAATAAATCAGTCTCATCAGTATCATGTGATTGGTACAAAAGAGGTCACTAACTCCCACTTGGTGAGCTACAACAGAAAGTATTCACCTGATGAAACTGGGTTGTAGTTTTGCTTCACAAACATGTCAGACAATGGAAGAATAACTGCCCACATGACTGTCTGGAGGCTAAAACTAGAATGTTTCAGCCCTATCTTGACAACTAAAGTGACAAATGCGACTGGACAAGAACCTCATCACCTTGTGGACAGCCTACTAAGACCATGGCATTGGGGAGGTGTGTCTCAGACTGGGTTCCCATACCTAGAGTGATCTTACAGGGTCGATCCATCTCCGAAGGATTTCTTGCTAAACTGCTTTCAGCCTTTAAGCGGCTTAGATGTCTGAAAGGCCTATACTGAAGCCCGTAAACAATAATTAATTACCCCCTAGCAGCTGTAAAAGGTGTGACAGACATCTAATAGGCTGACTGTAATTTAGCAAGAATCCCAATGAAGATAGATTGATCCACAGTTAGTACGACAGGGTCTGGGAATGGTCTCTTACTCGGACCAGCTTGAACCCTGTGCATGTGTGATTCTGCTTACTAGTAAGTGGAACCTTTCTAATCACAGGGCAAAGATAATAAATCAGCATGAAAGTTTCAACTAGTACTGAACAGCTAGACAGAGCACAAAGGTTTTTCTTCACTTTCATTTCTTTTATTAATTTCAGCACAGCCTGATTACATCACTGGTATAATGTTAGATTTATAATTTCCTTGCTTAAAAAATAACAGACCTAAACAAAACCTGCAGCAGAAATGGCTCAGTGTGCAAAATGTTAGAAGAAAATTAAGTGCATGACCTTATAGACCTGCTTGGTTGGAGTGCAGGTAAAAACTGACTGCCTGAGCAGTGTTTTACTGTACTTGGCCAATGCAAGGACCAACAATATTCCTCAAAGTTCTAGACACAATAGAACCTTCACAAGAACTGACATCAAAAACAATTTGATTTATTTATCTATCTACTAGTGATATACTCTTAAATGAAGGTCTTTTTAATTGAAGACCCTGTATCATTTAGGGGCTTGAAGGGCAGACTGGTATAATTGCTATTACAGTCCCTGCTCATTTACCTTAATTAAGGTGGACACACTTAAGATCAATGACCCATTCACAAAAGAAGACAACTATAGTGTGCTGATAACAGGTTGGTGTTGAAAGGATGTGGTAAATGGTGTAATTTTGCTATTCAGCCTATTTATTAAGTGGTCAGGGTTTTACTTAATTTTTATAGGTGGAGAAATGACAGTATTGTTCTGTAGCTGCTCATGTTAATTCTGTTCTGTACAAACTGAAATTCTTTTCTCTCTCTCAATTAACTTAAAAAAGCACTAGTATACATGTACTACATGTATATAGGTTTAACAGTAAATTTCAGTTACAATGTTGCAAAAACAATAACCAGTGAATTCCCCAAATATCTAAAACATAGGTTATCATATACAAAAAAAAAATATATATATATATGTATCCAATAAATACAGAGAATTTTTGAATGCTGAATAATTAATGCATAATTTTTACAAAATTATACAGACAAGTAGGCCTACCTTTATCAGTGATATATGGACATAAACTTCTCCCTATCATATTTCAGGTGCCCAAAGGCATCCTGCATCCTTAGTATGTACTACATTGTAACCCCAAGACATGCAAGTTACATCAACTGTTAACTACATACATGTATATATAATTGGCTTGAAGTCATGTGAAGAAAATGTGATTTAAGTACTGGTTCTGTGTAGTACTAGAATATACATCTACAGGGTGTTTTGTGCTAGAAAGTTGGTTGTTTAGTTAATGCAAAATATGTTTATAATGAAAGTATAATCTTTGCAAATAAAATGCATTGAACACATACAGTGTACTAATATTGTCTCTTTATAATACTTACAATGTGTATCAAATTCAATACATGTATCAAGAATCGTATCAATTTATATTTGAATTTTGGAAACTCGCCATGGACAAAATGTGAAAACATAAAATTTTCTACCTTGTACTTTACGTTTTGCCTATACAGTTTAAAAATGACTAAAAAAATAGTTTCGTTTTCTTTAACTTAATTTATTACGAAAATGACGAAAAATTCGCAAAATAAAATTAAAAAAAAAAAAAATAAATAAAAATGAAACCTTTTCATTAGTTTGACATTTCTATATGAAAGAAATACTGTAATAAAGGTTCAGTTTCTTTTTCGTTTTTATTCTCTACTTGGACACAAGGGTATAGCTGCACCACGGGCCAGTTCTCGCACACATACGCGTATTTAACGATTCTCGCAGTCAGCAATGCAGCTTTTTTAGACTCTGTAATCATTTAACTTATCTGGTTGTATGATAATGATCCCAATCATGGCAAACGATAAAATAGAGATAATGAGGATCATTGCAAGTCAATATCTAACTTACCTCCCAAAACATTATTTTCTTTCCGTTAGTCTTCCAATTTCCTCAGTAGACTTTACACCGCAACTTGTTTGGTCATGTGATGGAACATGGCAGTATCGGTGTCGACCTGTTTACCCATTTTAAGTGGACAGATCCACTAAAAAGGAAGGGGTGATTTTATCACGATATTTGCATCTCCCTAAAATATTTTCAAATATATACTTTTTAAAACTTGAAAAACAATAACAAAAATTTCTCGATTATAAAAGTGAAATATGATAGCAAAGATAAAATCATCTTTAAAATTTTTGATACACTCAATTTTACCGTTTTGTAGGTAGATCCCCAACATCGGAAAAGTTCATGCAGCAAAACAAAGATGGCTTCCACGAAGCACGTGTGCCCCTACGAAGATTGTCAAAAGTCATTTTCGAGACCTAGCAGATTAGAATGCCATCTAAGAACCCACACAGGAGAGGTAAGATACCTTAAAAAGTACAGCTACACTGTAGAAATACCGAGAGTTTAGTTTCTTAGTCAGTGGTACGACTGTTCTCATGATGTCGGGATCGGTCACTGTGTACCCCGCACAACTGTTTTACTATTGATTTATGTGGATTTTATATTCCTATTTAACATTATTTTATCAGCGTCCATATGTCTGCAAATGGCCAGGTTGCAACAAGAGCTACAGCAGGTCCCAACATTTGAGAAGACATGAGGAAACTTGGCACTGTACTGAGTCTGAGGAGGAGAAAAAAGTAAAACAGATAAGGTATAATTATTAGTGTTCATGATATCTATTTTTCAAAGATTTTGAAAATATGCCAGAGTTGCAGTTCAAATGCGTTCTCCATATGTTAAAAAAAACCCCACAGTCTTATTTATATCCTGCGAAGCTTCTAACAATACCCAGGAGACCTAAAAGACAATAAAACCTTTAAATAAAACTTAATTTTTCAAAGTGTACCTACAGTATAGTGTCGTTATTATCTTCTCGGCCTTCTCATATTTCGCAACACATATTACATTATACATTGAAATATTGCGTCATTTCATTGTGTGAAAATGTGGTCATGCATGGTGAAGGTGAGATGTCGTCCTACTTGTTAAATGGCAATAGCCAGTGAGAAAATGTTCCTTTTAATGGCAATTTTTTAAAATATTAAATAGAATTATATACATTTTATTTGATTATTGACATGTATGCATATTTTGATAACTACTGAATTTTAAAAGGTATTGCATTACGTAGAGCACTTTTTTATTTATCAATATATCTGCTGAGTAAATTATTTGACCCCAACAGATTGAAAACTAATACAAGCAAGCTTCTTCACTTTCAAACCACGAAATGGTTACACTTACTGTAACCCCCAGTGGCTAATTTACTGTCCCAATCACATCTCACATTTGCTTACTTATTGTAATAAATGTTTTCATAAAAAGGCACTCAAGATTTAGTAAGAAAACAGACACTTCTGACAATTGTGATTGGTGTGGTAAAATTTAATGCAAATGCTTCTGAAATTCATGAACAAGCTGGCATGTACTTAATTTGTGACAGTCTTCCAAATGATTTTTGTTGATCCATCCATCATTTTTGATCGTCTTTTGACAGAAAAAATTAGATACCCATCAATGTAAACTTGAAAATCTGACCGTCTTCCAGAAGACAGAGAAGACGGCCTCAATCCGCCCCTGACTTGTTAAAACATTTGAAAATGAAGAAGCTGGCCCATGTCAGCTTTAATGCTGTTATTTTTATATCCTGTAGCTGCCCTCAAAAGAACTGTGCCCTGATCTTCACCTCCATGGATATAATGAAGAGGCATGTGAAGAGAATGCATGTTTTGCAGCAGTATGTGGTATGTAACAACAGCTCACCTCCATGAAGTTTTTTCCTGAAGGATGTTTAAAGGGGCACTCTATGCATTTGTAAATTTCCCAAAGCCAAATGCAGGGACAGGTGGAGCAATGATTCATGAAAAGGATAACTTGCTGTTTCTCTGAGGAAAAGTTATTTTGGCAGATAAATCCTGTAAAGGGTACTTTTAACAAGTCACTGAGGGAAAAATAAGATTCAATTACATTTTTTTCTTTGGAAGAAAACTGGTATTTAGAAGTTAATCAGATTACAAGTATTTGTATATTACTTATTATATTTATAATTTATTAGTAACCTTTTTATGTTATTTACAATTTTAGTGTGAATATTCTGGCTGTGGTAAAAGTTTCAAGAAGCATCAACATCTTACAGTCCACAGTTATGAACACACTGGCGTCAAGCCTTATAAGTGAGTACTATATTGTGCTCAGTTAATTTTGGAAATGCCCCCTTCTCCCCCTCCCTCCTCTCCCTCCCCCAAAGAAGTTAAATCAGTGAAAGTATACAAAACAGATCTTGAGCAGTGTTGTTTTCATTCCTGTGCCCTACATATTATGGAAATAGTCCTCTTGTGCTATTTTATTAAATAATTAATATTTTTTTATCTCTCCCCCCTTTCTCTTTCAATCCTAGACCCACATTTTTTTTTGTGTAGATAATTTGCGTCACTAGCAAAGGTATTGAGTTCTGTGTAGTTATTATCCCATTTCAAAAGAATGTGAAGGGCATTTGTGGTTCTTAAAAAAACAATGATGTTTGATTGGTCAGTACAACATTAGATTTAAAGTGAATCTTTTCTTTAGTTTTGGAAGATATTTTGCAGAATGATAGATACAGGAAGAAAAAGTTTGGAGTAATTTTCAGCTGTCTGTATATTATTAATTAATTGCTATATGGTTATTCCTGTTTTAGAAAAAGTAAATGGTGTTTTAGTTTTTTTGTGTCACATGTTTATATAATGATCACATTTTTTTATTCTGTTTCAAACAGGTGCCCTTTTGAAGGCTGTGGACTAAGCTTTATTCTGCCAAGCAAGTTAAAACAACACGAAAAAGTACATGAAGGTATTTAATAAAGCTAGTGGTCAGTCCCTAATCTGCTTAGCAAGGGGAAATTCTGTAGTCAGATGAGATTAAAGATAAAATTATCTGACGATAAAAATTGAAAATGATGAAATAAGTTGACCATGTTTTTAGGTTTTGTTAATGATATTTTTACAATAATTCAGTTTTAGTAATAATATCTGAAACATTTGTAAAGAGCAACTTTGTTGCTCATCCAGAACATGCCTTTAAATAAGTAGACTTTTAAAATATTCAGCCTTACACTAATTCTTAGTGTCTAAGAGATAACATTAAGTCATAGAGGCTGAGAGATATATTCTTTTTAACCACTGTTTAAATAGTTTTATTTTTAAAATTGACTGAATCCATTATTCACCTTTCAGACATTTTTGAAATTAAACATTTGCTCTTAAAGCTTATATGTATTTTTTGTTATGTACAGACACAGATGTGTCTGTACATATAGCCATCATCTGCGTCTGTCGACGCCGTCGTCGCCGTCGTCGCCGTGCACTTTTACCGATAACACGATAAGTGGATAACCATTTTACCTTTTGANGCCTTGTTGCATATACAGTCACCCCAAAAAGTTTGGAAACAAAATTATTTTAAATTATAATAATATAATTATACAATAACATATGAGCGAAAGTAAATATTTTTACCCAATATTGATGGATAATGCACCCATGTTAACTGCTTTTTTATTTACACTGAAGATTTTTCCCCACTTCATTACATTTTCATTATTGAAAAACGATTTCATGTTTGTGAACTTTTGGGTCAAGTGTAGATACCGTTACATTGTTCAGTAACTTTGGTAAATATTCAGGAAAATGAGAAATTTTAGGTAAATATGAATAAAAATAATGAATATCAAATTTAATCACTTTGCAGGCTACAAGTGCAGTCATGCAGGTTGTGATGCCCTCTTTGCAAAATGGTCACAACTGCGAAAACACCTTTCAAAGGATCATGTTAAAGGTAATTATGCGATCTGGTGGTGTTACTTTATAGTGCATACTTGTATGATCTTTATTTTAAAAAAAAATTATTGCATATTTCATTAATTAAAAGATTGAATGACAGTTATGAAATAACTGATAAAATTTATAAAGTACTGTTGCTATAATTTTTAGCGCCGAAAGCTATTTTAATGTTTAAATGGTTTGATTGTTATAACATCAAAAGTAACAAAACCAAGTAATATTAAATGTTGAAACCAATTTCAGTAGTTGAATCTGTAAAATGTATCAATGTCAAATGCTTTCAGTTGACATTATTAACCAGTACTTTTCTGTAAATTTAAGACATTCAATCAAGACTGATTGATGCTACACAGTAGTCATCTTTTTTCCAGTTCACACTTGCTCTACCTGTAAGAAAACATTCACCAGGAAAGAGTGGCTGAGAAAACATGAAGCAGTTCACAGTGGAGAGAGGGACCTCTTCGCCTGCCCCTACGATAACTGCCCCAGGTCCTACTTAGACATGAGGAACCTGACGCACCACTTGAAGTCGTACCATGATGGGAAGAGGTTTCCCTGTACACAAACTGGGTGTAGCAGGACATTTGCAACAAAAGTATGTATTATACTTATTTTGAGGAAGGAAGATACTGAAATAGAATATTGAAGAAAGAGTTGAAGGAAATACTAGAATCATGAGAACATACTTGATTAGCTTTTTGTCCTGAGTATTTCAGTGCTTACTTGTTTTTTGCCTTATTAAAGATGCATTTGAAGTCGCACATTTGCCACAAAACTGACCAAATGCCACCATATAGTTTCAAATAAAATAACTTAGAAATTCCAAAGAACAGAATTTTATATTTCCTAAAAAAAATTTCTTTCTGTGCTACATATAACCTTGGCTGTTTTTGGCAACTCATTTGAATAATTTTGCTTTTGTGTGAGCAGCAGTAATGCACCATACATGGCCAATTTGGCAAATTTTTACAGATTGGAGAGATAAAGAGGCCAATTTACGGCCAGAATTTTTGAAGATGGTGCAGTTGTAAAAATATTTTATAGCTGATAGAGTGATTAATTAGGTTTATCCCTTGGCATGTTGACTCTTTTTGAGTTTTTTAAGAAACTTGTACAAGTGGACTTTATGCAAATTCACACTGGCTTCAAATGTAACTTTAAAATTCAAAACTAACTGTTACATGCGTTCTGTATCAGAATGTACTTTTAACACTTTTTTCATAGTGGATTTGGATATTTCTAGAAAATAAGGATAAGGTCATATTTAAAAAGAACATCTCTATGGTAAAATGTTCATGGTTTTTATACTCAGTGTATTTATCTCCAGGGGCAGTAAAGTGATATTTTATTTTAATTTCAGCAAAAGCTATGCCAGCATCAGAAATTGCATGACAGTAACAGGCAGTTTAAAAAGGTGAAAAGTGACTTGTCTTTTTTGCTTTAAAATATTACTCATACAGAAATTATTTATTTAAAAGTTAGATTGAGAAGACACTAAGATAAATTGTGTTCACCAGAGTAAACAAAAGATACTTCAAAAGTCTTAAAGCACTGATTGATGTAGTGTTGTTATTATTGAGTGTTTTGAGATGCTTGATAAGACTTTATAATTTAATGTTCCAGAAAAAGGTGAAGACAGATGTGAAAAGAAAAAGCATGGCTTCAAAGCTGTCTGGTATAAGTGACAAAGATGCTGAAGAAATTGGTGCTAATTTATGTGATGCTGGTGAAAGAATTCCAGAGGACAGAACTGCTGAAATGTGCAATACAGAGTCTGGCTCTTGTAGTGGTAATTTTACCGTTGTCACAGACTATACCACACAGGTCAAGGGTACCACTGACCATACCGCCAAGCTCAAGGGTACCAGGGACTGTACCGCCAAGTTCATGGTCACCACAGACTGTTCTGCCCAGGTCATTGGCACCACTGACAGTAATGCACGAATGACAGGTACCACGAACTGTATTGCCCAGAACATGGGTACCAAAGACTGTACTACCCAAGTCACTGGGTCTGAAAATGTTGTGACAGATAACTTTAACCAAATTGATGGGAATAGAAGTAGTTTTGAAACTGTTCCCTCCAGTGAAAAAGATAATAGTATGGACATGCTACTGAAGAATAAAGGGGACCTAAGGAATAAAAATGTTGGCCAATCAACAAGCAATACTGAACTTCTGAATGGTTACTGTAGTAACACAGAAAATAATATAAATAAAGTGAGATAAACACCGAACAAACTAATGGATTAACAAAAGATTCCAGTCAGTGAGTTGTGAGGAACTTGCATCTGAGGAATGGTTTTGTCCTACAGAGTGTTGTTAATCAAAGCACTGAATGTTAGAATAATATCAGTTAGAGCTGGCAGACTGGCAGTAAGGTTAGGATCACGTTTGCTTTTATGTTCACATAAAATACCAACAATGTCTTCTTTCGCCAGTTTTGTCTTCTTGTCATTGTTGCATCTTCCATTATTTTGATCTGACTGGGAGTTTTAAATCTGATAAATATATGCTCAAAATGGTACATAGGGAAATATTGAAATGTGCCTAAATTTGGAAATGGGAATATGTCTGTGTGAATTTTCCGTGTAATTTATGCATTTAGATGCTAGTTGAATTGTCAACGTGGGTGTTTGCCATTAAAAAAAAAAACACTGCCTGTACCCAGCTTATCACCAAGTGGTTGATATGTAAAGAATAATACTTAATAAAAACATATAATTGTAATTGATAACTGCCCAGTGTTGAGATCTCAACCTCAGATCCTATACAAGGAACTGACCTGATGAATTAGTCATAACAGTTTATTCATTGTAACATGTGCCTACACCTGGGTGGATGAAAATAACGATGTAAATTTTATTTAAAAAAAGCATGTTATTAAATACCTGTAAGGTGCATGCCAACTCCTAACTTACTAAAGGCAATTGTTTAAGGCAAGTTACTATTACTACTACTCTTTGAGGTCATGTGAGTTATATGGACAGGACGTGTCTCCAGGCCCTTGTCACGTGTGTGACAAGTATTTAATTTACTCAATATGAAACAAAACTCATTTCGAAGAAAAAATCTAGTTCTTCTATTATATGCATATGTTAAGGATTGATTTGATTGTTTATGGCATAACCTTTGTCATCTATGTATGTGTTGTTGCTATTATTGTTATGATACTGTTATTGTTATTACCAGTGCCAATAAGGTGGTTTTCTATGTTATTTGTTAGTTAGTTTGCCACCAGCCTAACTCAAAAAGTTAAGATTGGATTTTGATGTCAGTAGATAGATCACAAATAAGCTACAACTTCAAATTGATTAGATTTCGGTTATCCAATAATTATTTAATCAATTCGTGGTTTATTGTTAATTGTTATTTGTATGTCTGTCTGGTACAAACGTATATTTCAAAAATTATGGCCGGATTTTAATAAAATTTTCAGGATAGGTCGGAAATGGGCTATGTTAAGGTGGAGATTTAGCTGTAACTTAATTTGATTTTTGAGAATTTAGCTCATTATTTAGTTTATCATTAATTAGCAATAATGGAAATTGAGTTAATTAAATGATTAAGGAATGATCAGTGAGAATAGAGTTTCCTTTGCGGAGGTCTGCGCTCTCTGAATGCTTCTCCAGTGATCATGATTGTTACTATTGTTTATTTATTTTATATTGTAATTATTTATTT